CAGGGGCCGCCTGCGATCTCACCACCCACCAAACCACCCCAACCCAACCCGACGGCTCAGATTTACCCTCGATTTCCAGTGAGGGGGGGTGGGTCGGGAAACATCGAACAAAAACACATGTGGAACCCTTACCCCCCCCCCCAGCCCGAAATTCGGGTCTTCGGGTTGGGTTGGGGTGGTCTGGTAGGTAGTCACGATCGGAGCCCGAGAGCAGTGGCGAAGCGTCCCGGCTCGCCTGCACGCCGGTCGCTGGAAGTGCTGGGATGATCGGGGCTCAACTCAGAGCGTGAATTACCTACCCCGCTTTCGCTTCCAGGCAAAACCAAGTCATACCACGCGCCTCCTCGTCAAGCGGCCTGACCAGTACAGGCCGTAGTTTGGAATCGCTTGGTATCTCTTGGAAGCGAGGGTGGTCAAAAGTGAGGTAGGTTTGTTTGCCTCCTATCAACTGGGATGACCGTGGGGGTTTCTAAGCGGGTAGGGGGGTCACAAGTGGATGCTAAGGTGGGTTATGCCTGGCCCAGCCTGGCTTATGAGAGGGTTGCAAATGCGCCCCGAGTGGCTCAGGGGGGTTAGATAACTCCGCTAAGTGGGCGGATCCCATTTAGCCTGGATCGTTAACACCCTGTAAACTACTTGGGGCATTTCTAGCCCACTTGTAAGCCAGGGTGGGCCAGAAATAACCCACCTCGGCATCCACTTGCAACCCACTATCAACTTAGAAACTCCCACGGTCATCCCAGAAGAGACGGGGGTCAGTGCAAACGGGGGTCAGCCAGAGCGCCGGATTTTGCAGAATCCTGCAGGGCCAGGGTCGCACTGACCCGGGTTTGGGTGCAGGATCCTGCAGGATCTTGCAGGATCCTTCGCGTTGACCTGGGCTTGGGTGCAGGACCTCGCAGAATCTTGCAGGATTTTGCAAGGCCTGACTGACCCGGGTCTGCATTGACCCGGGTCAGAAGATCCCCGAGATGACCGTGGGGGTTTCTAAGTTGACAGGGGGGGTACAAATGGATGCCAAGGTGGGTTATATTTGGCCCGCCCAGGCTTAGAAGTGGGCTACAAGTGCTTGAGTAGCTTAGGGGTGTTAGCGATCCGGGCGAAGTGGGCTCCGCCCACTTCGCGGAGTTGTCGAACCCCCCGAAGCCATTCGGGGCACATTTTTGACCCACTTCTAAGCCAGGTTGGGCCAGGTATACCCCACCTTAGCATCCACTTGTAACCCCCCTGTCCACTCTGAACCCCCCACGGTCATCCCAGTAGGTGTCTTTGGATTCCCAGATCCCAACCCAGACATGATCGCGCCGTAAAAAAGAGTCAGGGCGGAAAGTTTTGGGCTATTTTCGGCCTCGGGGGGCCCTCGCCGGTCCCCGGGAGCGTAAAAAAACGCATTCAGGACGAAAAACCGGCCCGGGGGAAAGAATCGGAATTTCCAGGGACGCCGTCCTAAAAAGTGCAGGACGCCGCATGTCTGGGAATGTACTTCAAGCGCCATCCTCAAGGATCGATCTGATATTGCTGTGTCTTGTGACTGTCTGGGAGGGAGGGCCTGAACTCAATCTACGTTGTCCGCCTTCCTACTCAATGCTTTTACCTATGTACTTCTTCCGACCGGCGTGTATAGGTGAGCTTTTTTTTCCCCCTCCCCAGCGTAACGTTCGTTACCCAGGCCAAGCCCCCCCACCCTCCCCGGGTAGCGCTAACGATCGTCCTGGGGGGGGCGGCCTGGATCCCCCTGACTTGGCGTGGTGCACGCAGGCGGGTGATGCGCTGGTGGCGCGGACGCGCCCTGGCGGGTGCACGCCGCGGCCGCCGTTACCGTTACAATCCTGCCCGAACCCTTCCCCTGGATATCGACCGTTACATTGGAGGGGAACAAAGCGCTCACTCGGCCCACCAAGAGATGTTCTAAGAGCATTTTGTGGTCTGCACGAAGTGTTCTTCGAACAGTTTTGGCTGAGACTGTCTTTGTTTTGACCCATCGGCCTTATGTTCTGAGACCTGTGCTTCTGTCCTTAGAACATTTCTGGGTCCTAAGGACATGCCGTGGTAGGCTTAGAGGAATGCCGGGACGGTCGGTCGCTGCTCAAAATCCGATGCGGTTCGATTCGCCAGCTGGGGCCGCGGCTCCGATTCGATTCGATCGCCGGCAGGCTCGCGTCGTGAGAGATTCAGCACGGGTTGCTTTCTGTTGCCGTTCTCGCCCTCCGGGGGCCCTTGCTGGGCCCTGCGGCCGTCCAGAAACGACTCAGGATTCAAGCAGTGGCGAGGCGTCCTGGCGTGCTTATAGCCCTCCCAAACAATGTTCGAAGAATCTTTCGTGGTTTGCACGAAATGTTCTTAGAACATTTCTGGCGGAGTCTGTCTTGTTTTATCACATCGGGTTTATGTTCTAAGAACATTGTTTTGTTCTTAGAACATTCTTGGGTTCTAAGAATATTTCGTGGTAGGACTATAGGAATGCCGGGACGGTCGGTCCCTGCTCAAAGGGTGAAAAATTGGTCCCGGGGAAGGTGCTGAGACCTCGTGTTGAACAAACTCATAGCGTCGGGAGTCTGGCTTCGCCAGCCAGGGCCGCGGCTCCTGTTCCGATCCGGTTCCAGGCAGCCACGCGCCATGCTGCGCCACCTCTTCGAGATGGGCGTGCCCACTTTGCCAGCCTGGAACATATCCCTATCCCTATGCTGGGCACCTCCTCATCACGATGCCAATCTTAGGGATTCCCTTATTTTGTGAGGGCGAATCCCTAAGATTGTCATCGCCTTTTGGCGTGTCAATCTTAGGGATAGGGATACGTTCGAGGCTGGTAACCACTTCCGTCCCAGTGAGGGCTCGCTCTCCAGCCGGAGAAGCGGAGGACATGAGCTCGCCGGAACCTGGGCATGCCGACGCTCCGAAGGCGCGGGGTCTTGTTTAGCGCCTTCTACGAAGCAGCCTCCTTCTAGGAAGCCTTCCCCCTGATACCTCCTTGGGCGCGTTGCAAGCCCAGACATTTCGTGCCTCGAACAAAAATCGAGACAGCGTGTTTTCATGGTTTCCGGCCTCTCGGGACCCTCTTACCAGGCCTCGGGACCTTCAAGAGAGCGCCTCGGGATGAAGAACCGTCCCCCAGGAAGTTGTCGAGACAGCGCGGGGGCCTGTGTGTCGACAAACTCGAGGCGCCGGATGTCTGAGATTCGGCTTGATTCTCCGGCATCGGTCGGTGCCAGCCGGAGCCAGGCGCGGTGGTCCGATTCCGACTCGCTTCGGGACGATTCGTTGTCGATCCGATGCGTTTTCGACCCGATCCGCCCAGGGATCCGACAGCGCGAGGACCACTGCAGCACTGCTACGAATCACGCCCAGAGTCCTGAGCACCACCTTCCTGGGCTTCTGTCGGGCCTGTCCCCCTACAGGGGGATTTTCGACGAAAAATGAATAGTACACCAAAAATAATCAACAAAAATCCAAAAATAGGCTGGGGACTATTTTTTGGCCTTCTTTGGGTATGTTTGGGGTATTTTTAATTCTTCGTCGAAAATCCCCCTGCAGGGGGACAGGCCCGACATAATTCTGGGCCAATCTTCGGGCCCGAGCGATCCGCGAGGGCCCCGGGGCCCGAGACAGGGCAGCCTCGCCTGGCTCGAAGCAGTGGAGCCGCCAGGAGCTCGGGGATCGCTCTTCGGTCCGATTGCGGCCTCGCGACTCGGCTCAGCGTGTCGTCGAGGAGAAGAGAGCCCTGACCCTGATAATTGACACGATGAAGACGCAGCCCGACTTGGATCCCGCCTGGCTCGAAGCAATGGAGCCGCCAGGAGCTCGGGGATCGGTCTTCGGTCCGAGGCGGCCTCGCGACTCGACTCCGCGTATATCGTCGAGGAGAGGAGAGAGCCCCTGACCCTGACACAGTCAAAAACCCTGATAAGGACGCGCGACTCTGCTCAGGGCACCCCTGCGTCCTTGCTCTTCCCTGCTCTTGCGTCCTTGAGATTTTCGTCGTCCGCCGCCCCCCAAAATCCCAACTTCGGCTTCCAAGGGTCTTGCGCCCTCACCGCGCGTCCTTATTAGGTTTTTGATTGTGATGGACACGATGAAGACGCAGCCTGACTTGAATCCCCCGTGCCTGCACTCGTGCTGCCATTCCGTGGTGCTGCGGCTTGAGACATCGGCAGACAAGATCCCTCCTCCCTGATGACGTGGGCCTTTTTGACTTGGGCCGACGGCGCAACAAAATGAGCCCTCTTGGGCCGTCTTGAGGCCCTCGCGGGGCTGTCTCGGGGGCCTCTTGGGCAGTCCCGTTGGCCATCTTGGAGGCCTCTTGGGCGCTCCCGGGGGCGATCTTCAGGGCCTCTTGGATGGCCTTTTGGACTGTCTTGGGCCGTCGGAAGGCCGAAAAAGAACAGATACGAACATGGAAAAAATCAGGGGTCGAATACGGCCAACTGAGCAGTGCAAAAAAAAATCGGGGTCGATTGCGCCGACATTGGCGCGGAAGTTGCCCGTGTGGGATCGCGCGGCAGCGCCCGCGTGAGCCACCGCGCAAGGTCGCTGTGCCATCTCGCGCAAGACTCGTTTTTGATCGTCGCCCGAATGGTGATCGTTTGTTCTTCATTGTGTTGCCGTTCGGCGCGGGCCCCCCAACCTCCCCTCCCCCCCACTGAGTAGGTCTTGGCTGTTTTTTGGCGCCTGTTTCGAGCGGGTGGAGTCTCCCCCCGAGGCAGCACTCTTGCAAACAGTCGCGCTAAGCAGAGGTCTGAAGCCAGACCCCCCCCCCCTCCCTCCCTTTCCGCCCAATGTCGAAACGCCGAAGGAGAAAACGCGCACACGATTAGGGGTACTTTGATCGAAGGAGGAAAAACGCCATAAACACAAACTTTTGGCGCTCCGCGCTGATTTCTCTGGATCCGCGCCAGCCCCCCCCCCCCCCCTGGCGGCGCCTCCAGCGCCGCCCCTGGCGCGCTCCGCGCGCCGGGGAGGGGGGCCCAGCGCAGATCCGAAGAAGTCCGCGCGGAGCGCCAACA